CTGGTCATATCTCGAAAAATTCGTAAGGAGGGGCGTTCGTAACTAGAGGTACCACTGTATATTAAAGTAAGGCCTTATAGAGTTGCATGCTCAAACCATAACTTTATCTTTTTCTACAAGCCTTCTAATGCCATTTTTTTTTCTCCTTTCACATCACAGTCAGCTTCCAGCTGTTCTGTTCCTATCTTAGGACTCAAAGTGATTTACAATTACTGCTGCTACCTTGTTTTTATTTTATTTTTTTGTGTTGATTTGTGGTGACTGCCTGGACGAGTCCCTTAACCCTACAGATAAAACATATAGACCAGTTACTCAGCAATAGGGCTATGCGAAGCATCTGAAATGGGCATTTTGCACATGTGTTAGTACTAGCAGGGTACCTGTATGCAAAGTGTTAAACTAGCCATATACTTTGGAATGTGCTTTGCAAAGAGCCTCTTTCAAATGCTTTGCACAGCACTACTAAGCAATTGTCTGTGATGAATTCACAACTATCTGCCAGAATGGACTAAACAGCTAATTCAGCACAGAAAGTACTGTTACACCAGAATTGTGGAGATATGAACTGAAATACTCATTTGGCCACGGAGTTCACAGAATGAGCTTCACTTGAGCTCTTTGGAGGAAAGTCTGGATAAAAATAAATTATAATAAACAGAAAATCCATTTCAGGACTCAATAGATTTTTCTTTCAGTTCCTACCATTTTAACCTGTCTACTTTACTGTGTTACCAATTTAAATCTTATAAAAGCTCTGTGGATATTCTGAATATACTCAGTCCCTTTCAAGGCATCTGGAAGAATATCCTCTTGCCTATTATGTTTTCAAAAAGACCATCTATGGGCTTTATCCTAACAGTCCTGAGAGCAGTCAAATCAGCACATCAGATTCAAACTACTGTGAATTTATGGAACTCACATTACATTTTATGAACATACAGACTTACTGACTTCAACATTAAGTCTTTTTATTCCTCTCCCCAACCTGCTTTTTGTAACATCCTGCCAACAAAGAGTTGAGGATTTTGAACACTGGCCTAAAAGTTAGCTTGATAATGTGAATTTGCAATCCAGAATGCTCCTCAAAATACACATGGATGGATGAACTCCTCTTCTTCCTTATGTTTTTTTCTGTCATCTAATCAGCACCTGGCTATCAACTGTTCAAACAATGCTCAGATTCTTCTATAGAATCCTTTTGTTCTATGCAAAATCTCTCATGCTTAGTTTAAAAAAAAATCTAGTAAACTGAAGGATTAACATTAGAAATCTCTGATCAGTATCTCCAAAAGTAGTTGTACATCTCTCTTTTGTTTCATGTTTGTAGATCCCATTTGGATGTAGATGTAAATACTAAAACTGCTTACAGTTGCTACTTCTACAAGAAATACTGTTCCTAAACGTTTTCATCAGGGAGCCCATTAACTGAGCTATACCTTTGTTGAAAGCCCACAGGCTTACCAGCCTCTATCCCTTAATAAACCTCTTAAAACCTTTACAATACACATTTCCTAACAACCAATATAACCTTTAACCAGATATGAGGATGTTTCTAAACTACAATACCAGTGGTGTTGGGAGTTCAGGTTTCTAGTTCAGTACTGTAGATTTTCCACAGGTTTCTCATCCCAACTTCCCAGAAGATCTAAAGTTACATCCACAAGATAATGAGCTAAGAATAAGGAAAATCCTAATTCACATCTCAACCATGGATCTCTGGATTGCCTTATAAAAACTCTCCTCACCCCTCAAACAGAAATTGTACTTAAGAAGAGAGGACGTTTGGATTCAATGCAATGTATGTAGAAAGCTTTGAAAATTATTTAAGATTTCTACTATAATATATGCCCAAAAGGAAGAACTTGAATTTAAGATCTTCCAAAGCAAGATTTAATAGAAAACAAGTTCTCAGTGAATTTATGACAACGTTCACATTTTAAAAGTAGTTATCTGAGCAGAAAAAAGAGAGTGTTCCATTCAGGTAAATAGTGCTGAAAAATCTAATGATGTGCTATTTGGAAATATCATAACTTCACTAGCATCATAGTATAAACGTGCATGTGTGTGTGTATGAATATCTCTGTGTGTTTGTGTATACATACACACACACACATACTGTATGTATGCATGTAGATACGTGTGTATGTATATACATACATACATACATACATACATACACACATACTGTTTAGCTACAGTTATTTTATACAATGGACAATTATATGAAATAAAGGAGAGCCACAGAGAGCCATTGCGTCACAGGCTTTGCAAAACCAAGCTACCCCCAGGTACACATGCAAATGGCTAACATCGTAACCCCCAACATATTTCATTCTGCAGATAAGAAACATTTAGATTGCTCATTAGGTCTAGGACTGGAGGTGGAAATGCAGAATGGCAGTTTTCAAATGTAAGAATTCGGCAGGGCTTCAATATCTGCAATTTTAAAAGAATCCCAACCAGTGCTACACTTGCAGTTTGGTTGTGGCTGAACTGTAACCTGGAGCCCCACTTTTCTACCCACCACCTTCTCTGTAACATAGCAAGAGAAAAGGACATGCAGCCACACAGAATGTTTTACCTTTAACATATCTTTGTACCTGCCCATCTCCGAGTGAGCAGTGATGAGGCATCCCAGAACGCGAAACCTGCCAGCTGCATCTGTGCTCTTTTCCAAAACCCGCAACCAGACTTGAAGGGCCTTTTCTGTCTGACTGGACTGATACAGCTGGAGTCCTTTTTCTATCTGCTGCTTGGTCTGGTCCTGTCCCATCTCCTTTGTGCTCCAGAGCTGCATATACCAACCTGTCAGGAGAGCAGGCCTGTCTAGGTGAGCCAAAAGAAACAATTTCAGTGAAGTTAGCGCTAAAACAGGAGGATGGATTGCATGGTGCCAAAGCTCAGGGCCACCGGAGTCTCGGATGGTTCAGACTGAAGGAATGTCAATTGGAGATGGGAAGGAGGGCCCACCCAAATGTTAAAGCAGCCACCCTGATCTTCTAGAATAGCATCCTTGCTGCTGCTGTCTTATCAGAGCTTTCTACAACCCAACCCACAAACAAAGTGGAAGACAAGAAAAGCACAGCAAGGAAAGAAGGAAAGAGCCTAAGTGGCTGGAGTGAAATTCAATCGGAATGGCCCCTCCCAGGCCCCTCCCTTCTACTGGGGACAGCTGTGCCCGCCAATCTGGGTCATGTGATCTCACAGGAATGTCAGACTTGGTAACCCCCAAGGTCAGAAAGCAAGCCAGAGCAGCCAATCTCCTTCCCTCTGCGCTGCCTTTATAAATATATCCGAGAAGGCAAATGGAGCCTTTCTTCCAAGAGCTTATCCAGCCAGCTCTTGTACGGCGGCAAAGGCAGCTTTGCAAACACGAAGGACGCTGGATCTGAACTTTTATAGCCTGAAAAGGAAACATCTTTTCTTGAACCAATTAGTGGAAAAAGCAGCATGCAGGACAGTTACTAGAAAAGGGTAGAAACTAACATTTGATATATTTTGTTTCAGTTTTGACAATCCCATTTCAAAAAAGATGCTGCGTGACTGATAAAGATGTAAAAAGAAGCAATCAAAACAATCGGGAAATTGTTCTATCTACCTTACAAGGACAGTTGAAAGCACCGGGAGATTTTTAGTTAAGAATCTACTTTTGGGAGACTGTGACAGAGATAAATAAAGAATGGGCTGAGAAAGGAGAGAGAAGAAAGTAGGCTGTTTCTTGGCAACCAAGGATTGGGGGAAGAAAGAGGAACAGCTGATGAACTGCTGCTTCTCAATTTCCATTATTCCAGCTTAAGGTATTTCTGCTGTTCTTCTCACTGTGCCAAGTCACCTGCCAGTTCTCATCCTAAAGCCCCACCTTAGCATGGTGTATCTTACTCTATAATGTGAGAGAAAGAAAAGTATGCCATTTTTGTAAGACAGCATTCATTCTAATGGCTGAACTGCAGCCAGCTTTTTCTGAAAATGGTGCTATGGGCCCAAGGGACATTTACTTCAGAATGCAGGCGGCCATGAGAAGCTAGCTATAGACACTTTATGGACACTTCATTGCTACTTCCGTTTACCTTGGGGAACAGAATTTGAAGAGATTAACATAGGAATATATGAAACAAGGAAGCATAAAAGAAGAAAATGAGGGAAAAAAAAGAAAAAAAGGAGCTAAGCAGAAATGAAAGAAAGGGAGCTATGACAAGCATCAACATGCGGAATAGAAGAGATTTGGATGAAAGCAACTAATAATATTCTTGCAGCATTTTTGAATCTACCAGCAGATTTACAAGCTGCTGTGATTCATTGCAAGTTATTTTCTGGATAAAATTGCTGATATGCATCAGAGCTGGACACATCATGGGCAGAATCCAATGAGGAGACTGAGGCAATCTCTTGTCAAGTCACCTGGGATTTTTGAGCCTGTGGAAGCTGAGGAAATGGACATTCTTCCATTGTATGAGCTCAGCACCCTGTGAGCTGGATCCTTGCTCTCCTGGTTTATTGGAGCTGCCAGAGAGGGAACAGGCAACTGCATTTTAGGGGTAGTAAATGATTATAAAGAGGGAGTCATACCAACCACCTGGAAGGAAGCTTTGGTGCACCTCTTCCTGAAGTAGTCATCCCTTGAGTCAGCAATGTTGGATAACTTCCACTTTGCTTCCAACCTTCTATTTCTTGGGACAGCTGTTGAGAAGATATTGGGGGTGGGTGGGAATTACACTACAGAAGATCCTGGATGAAGTAGAATCCTTTCTGAAGATGGGCCTAAAACTGCATTGGTCACTCTTGTGGATGATCTGCAGCAGAATTCAGGGAGGAGGGAGTGCAGCCTTTCAGTTCTGCTATGTCTCTCACTGTTGTTCAATATTGTACTCATGATTACAGTATGATTCTGGACTACCTTTGAGAGTTAAGGGACCAAGGCACTGTTACAATGGTGCTATTTCTTCCTAACAGGTGAATCCTCTCAGTAACGCTGGGGTAATGAGAGGTTAAGCACATGACTTCTGTCTAAGGTACTGCAGGGCTTATTTCTCTCCCATTTAACTTTTATATGAAGCTATAGTGAAAAGCCATCTGTTGGTTTGGGGTGAAGTATCACTGAACTGCAGATAATACCCAGCTCTACTTCTCCACCCTTGGCTGAGCAGGAGACCCAGAGGAAATCCTAACCTGGTGTATGGAAGCTAGGAGGGATTCAATCGGATGAAACAAATCCAATTTAAATCCCAGCAAGACAAGAGTAGCTGTTGGTCCAGAAATCATCTGGCTCCATGTCAGTTCCAGCACTGACTCTGGATTGGGTCACACTTCCTCAGATGGAGCACTGGGTTTCTCCTGGATTCATGGTTCCTGCTTGAAAGCGGGTAGAAGCATGCCAGCAGGACCTTCACTGAATTTCATCTAGTACACCAACCACATCTGCTTTTGGAATAGGCTTTCACAACAGTCATTCATAGCCTTATCATCTCACATATAGATTACTGTACTGTACTGTGTTCTACTTGGGGCTGTCTTTTAAAACATATGGAAACTGCAATTGTTTAAAAATGTAGCTGTCTACTTGGTGATGGGCGAAAATTATTTTAGCAAAGCAACATCTATGCTGTGGTATGATGCTGGTTACCAAAAGCTTTCTGAGTACAATTTGAAATGCTGGTGATGACCTCTAACACCTTTCATGGTTTGCATCCTTATTACCTTCATGACAATGTACTTTGATTCTGCCCATACTGTGTGATGGATCGGGGAAGGGATAGTTCTGATCCCCTTCCCTGAGATTGTGAGGAGATGAAGGTTTAGAAGCACACCTTTTCAGTAGTTGCTCTGGCCCTATGGAAGAGCAGGATAATTGCCCATTTTTTTTGAGGAATGGGGTTAAAACCATCCTATTCTGCCAGATTTACAAAGCGTAGGTTGTTAGATACAATGGCTACAACTGCAGTTGCTGTGATTTTAACTTTATTGGATTTTATGCTGAAATGCTGCTTTATGTGTTTCTCTATTTTTATAGTGAGCCACTCTGAGACTATGACTGGGACAGCATAGAAATCTTGT